GAGTTCCTATCCTGAAGTCCTTTTATGACAGGCTACAACATGGACTCATAAGCTGAAATAAACTCATTGTTCCCTAAGCCACTTTTGGTCATGAGGTTTTATATCAGCGATAGAAACCCCAAGACATAGACATTCCAGTTATACTAAAGACTGATGCATCCAAGCACCAAATGGACAATAATGTTGGCCTTTCAATTTCATGTCTCCTTATGAAACTGTTTGCTCTTGGAAAGGACCTAAAACAGCTTCTAAGTACTTAGGATTTCTAGGCTGCATGTAGAAGGAGCTGCGGGCAGCTTCTCACCTCCTAGCCTCCCAGCTCCCAGCCACCAGCTAGCTTTATACCCGAAATAACAACACACAAACTGTATTCATATAAACACTGCTTGGCCCATTTCTATTAATGTGTGTAGCACCACGAGGTGGTGACTTACCAGGGAGATTCTAGCCTACATCCATCTTGGGTCAGAGCTTCATCACATCTGGAGAGGAGAGGCATACCGTCTGCCTCACTTCCTCTTCCTCCCAGCATTCTGTTCTGTTTACTCTGCCCACCTATGTTCTAACCTATCAGGCCAAGCAGTTTCTTTATTAATTAACCAATGAAAGCAACAGATATATGACACTCCCACATCAGATGCAGATTCATAGCTTGCTGCATGCTAATTTTATTTCCTGTTGCCTTACCAAATAATGAATAAAATGAAACTTTAAAAGTATTACTATTGAGAATAAATTCTTCTATAATCTGCGGTTTAGAAAAAATGTTAATGATAATTTTGAAATTCAGATATAAAAAAGATCAAAAGATTAATATTTTTTTAACTCTGGTAAAGACCAAAACCCAAGTATCCTACATAAAAATCAATTTTACCTCTTAAAAACTAAAATTATAGTTTAGTGGGTAAAGGAACTTGCTACCAAGTCTAAAAATCTGAGTTTGATCCCCAGAACCTACACAGTGGAAGAAGACACTGTTGTCTTGAATGTTGTCCTCTGACCTCTACATATGCTGTGACATGCGTGTTTACATGTGCATACAAGTACACACACATGCACATACACAAACTCTAAATAAATAGAATAAAATGTAATTAAAAGTGTTAAAGTTAAAATGACAAGCTGACATATAGATGTGTGTTAGAGCCCTTGTCCAACAATGAGCAAGGCCTTGATTTCAATCCTTAGTACAACAAAAAATTTAAAATTAGTTGTTTGACATATACACTATAGGCAAAAGCAAACAAAAAAATGGTATAAAGTATTTGAAAGCATATTAAAAGAGATTTATTCTCTATGGCATACAAAGAGCTTTTTAATATAGCAGAATGCAAAATCTAACAGAAAATAGGCAATGAATGATAAGAATAAAAACTCACAAAATATCAGAAATAACAGGCCTGTGAAAATGTTCAGTTTCATCCATAATTAGAGAAATGTAAGAAATACATTCTCTCTCATTAAATTGGCAAACCTGGAAAACCAAAACCAAAAGCTTTACACAACAGGATACTATTCACTCTTTTAAAAGAAGTCTTTTCATTGTAGCAACAAAATATAACATCCCTTCCCAAAGAGGAACATGACAAGGCTTACCAAACTATGGATGCATTTACCTTTAAACTCAATAACCAGACTTCTCTTTGAATAGTTCAGAAATACTGTATCTGTACAAGTATAGAGAAAGCAAAATAAGACATAAATGAATAAATGGGACAAAATGTTCAAAACAGGAAATCTAGGTAAAAGAGACTGTATCTAAGTATTACTCTTAAACTTTTTCTGACTGATACAATGCTTTTAAAGGCATAAAAATAAGCCTACAAAAAGCAATTTTCATAGTTATCCTGAGTGTGTACAAGTGTCTAGGCTGCTAGAAAAAAACATTCAAAACACTGTAACATAAAAGAAACTCTTTATATAAAGCTATTGTATTGTCTTCCACCTGTCTTTTATGAGGTAAAAATCTGGGGATGCCTTCCATAAATGTAAAGAAATTTTGGGTTGTATGTCTGAAATAATTATATAAAATTGCTTGCAACCCATACCTAGAGGAAATACTAGCATAATGTGACATTTTTTTAAATGATAGTTTAAGACACATAGTATCACACAAAATTGCTGTAGGAAGACTTGCAGCTTGTGGTTACCTGCCTACTGGGACATGGCCTCTTATACCTTTTTTCCTCCTTTTTGCTAGCTGCTCTTTCGGATTGTTGCATTCAACTTCTGTCCACCATTCAATCAGAGAATTCTGATTTGTGAGCTTATCCCCAAATAAATAACTATCCATTTCTCAATTCTGAGCTAGTGTGGGATTTCTTTTAAGCATCCATTCGTCAATAGGTCACCTCTTCACAAAATGAGCTGCAGAAAGTTTATCCCACATACCTTTAAAAGTAAGTTTTAAATTTATTTTTGATAAAGATTAAAATGAAAATTTAAAACTAAATTACTATTTCAAAATACACTGTTTGAACACAAATTCTTACCCCTAGTTCCTTGAACAAAGCTCAGGGGGCTCTCTCTCAACTCAAAATTGCAAATAAAACTGCTGTCTGACTGATATTTTTCTTATTTTAAGAAAACTTTTGAAAATGCAGTTAAATTCTATTTGATCAAATAGGTCTCTGTTGGACTCTCCATTTAAAATCTAAAAGTCAAAGTGTTTTTATAGCTTAGAATTAGAAAGAGCTTTCTTTGATGTTGGCTTCTTCACTTTTGAAACCGCTTCTAGCTTGCATACAGCTCTCAGAAGTGGGGCGTGTGTCTTTGGAGTTTTAGTATTTTCATTTTATTAAATCTGATCCATTTGATCAAGTAATGAAAATTACTTTTCATCTGTGACCATTTTGTAATAGTTAAGTTTCCTTGGATTTTTACTTTTGAATCTTAAGCTACTTTTTTTTTTCACTTTCCAGAAACATTTCTGCCTGTAGATTTTCTTATCCTCACACATAAACAGACTTGGATACTACAGGGTAATGATATCTTGAATACTGCAAGACAGAAGTTCTTGGACTGTGGTGAACTAGCAAGCAAGGTGACTTGATCAATCTTCTGAACCATATAAGGCTTTCTGTTCTCAGGATCTGGGAGAAACTTCTCTAACTAACCAACATCGCACCTTCTTACTGACATCAGTGGCAGTGTGTCACAGTATTCTAAGCCGGTGGCTCTCACTATGGTGCTGACACATTTCCTTCAATAGGGAGAATATTAAAGATACAGGTTCTTAGGTCTACCTCTTACCCCCTGAAATCGGGCTGAGGTCCACTGATCTTTAATCTAAAACTCTTCCAGAGCTGTGTACACGCAGAGGTAGGTGGGATCGCGTCTTCCATGCCGAGGTATCTGCCCTCACCCCTGCAGACCTTATCTGCAGAGCAATCATCTTCCCACCCCACGGCTATAATGCTACATCCCAGCTCTGCTGCTACACATCTGTGTGTTCTTCTTTAAAGACTGAATTCTTTATGTATAAGGTCTTCTCCAGGTTCCAATCATAAGAGTAAAACTGTTGACTTGGACTCCAGTATATGGATGTGATTTATTCTGTAGCTTAAGGGAAACAAAAACGAAACTGTAGGGGCAAGTATTTCTGGGGCAGGAGACCTACTTCTAGTGAAGACTGCAAGGGACTAGTGTCAGAGAGAAATACGTTAAAATCAGAATAGATAGCGCAGCAGACAAGTAAGTGCCTGCTGAGGGGCCAGACAAACTGAGTTTGTTCTCTGAGACGCACATGGTGGGAAAAGAGAAAGTTATCCTTGGGCCTCCACATGTGCACATTGCACATCCCTTAAAAAAAAATAAATGTATTAAAATATTTTTCTAGATTGCAATGAATAGATTGTTCTGTTAAAATGTCAGCGTGCTTGGCTGGAGGTGAGGGTGGAACTGGGAGGAGGAAATGCTGGGTCTTCCTCAGACTTCAGACGTAGTCAGAGATGCTGTAGCCTCAGACTGCCATCTTCGACTCACGTCCATAGGTAAAAATTCTTCAAGGAAGATTGACTGAATTAAGGCTCAGATATGTGTCTGTTGCTTCTTAAAAATAGTATTTTAGTTACTTGGTTTCACACTTCACAAGTAATGTCTTCCAATAAATTTAGTGTTTAAAGGAGAAGAAAAATGCCATTGACATATGTAGCGAGTTGTCTGTAAGTGTCTCCGGTTTTCTGTTAGCTGTTTGGTTGTCCTTACACAGTCACTTTCTGTACAAACTGTGAAATCCAATTTACCTGAAAAACTTCATGTCGACAATTAGATTAAGATCTATTTCATCCTCAACTTGAATAATACTTGAGGCAAACATTTTATTTTGCTGCTTTTCTTGATGAAGAAAAGTATTTCCTTTGATTTTCTTCTGATTCCCTTTCTACATAGTGTTAAACACTACCGACGTTTTCGGATTTTTAGGAAAGAGCTTCAGCATTGATTGAGCTCCCCCCATATGAACACCTGATATGCTAATAATTTTGTCTCCAAGTTTTATAATTTTTCTGTTTCTCCTATCTAATTGCACCTGGCAGTAACTACAGAGCAATGCTGGTGATCAGACACCTCTTGCTTCATTTCTTTTCCCGGAATTGGTTGACAAACTTCAAGGATTTGATTAATATACGCTGTGCCAGCTTTCACTGGAGATTGGGCCCAGTTCTTCTAGTTTCCCATTCTGGGAAGCCATCCCTGTCGCTCTTTGTGCAATCTCCTTCTAAATCCAAAAATTCCCATCTTCATTTGTTTAGGCAGGAAGCTAAAGTCTCCATCCATTGCTTCAAGGCAGATGGGAAGTGTTTTAATCCAAAGGAGACAGTAGTTCCCAGGGGTAACAAAAGCCAAACAACTCAGAAGTTCCTTCCTGAGCCAAGTACCCTGTCATTCAACAGAGGAAAACTCGGCGAAATGGGGAGGAGTCTGTCACCTCCCCACCCCCATCCCACTTAGGTGCCACCCTCACAGATGAAATGTGAGCCTGGGTGGTCAAGGACGCCAGAGAAACTGCCTTTTGCTTGCCAGAGCCAGCACCTTTGGGCGGGACAAAGCCCCTGCTGCAGCTCTGCCAGGCAAGGACCACTAGCGCCCAGCTCCCCGCAGCCAGCCGGCTTCTTCAGGGCTCTGGTTAGGGTCATGGCCAGGCCTGCTCTGGACCCTGCTCTCTGCAGCACAGCCCTGTCTACCTAACCACCCTAAATCCTCCTCGTCGCTGCAGGGTTTCCTGGCCTTCCCTTTACTCCACCTTCTGCCAGGTCTACCCGTCTGTCCTACAGAGCAGCTTGGTGCCACCGGCTTGGATGGATGTGCTGAGGCTGCCCCGGCGTCCTGGGGTCTTGCTTCCGAAGTTGGTTCTGCTCTTTGTCTACGCAGGTCAGTGGTAGCGGGAACAGGGAGAGAGGGTGCTGGGGCTTGGGGCCATAGCAGTACAGTAAGAGTGAGATCCCCTAGGAACCAACTCCAGCCGCCCTCATGCTGGAACCCCCTTCTCCCCTTTAACATTACTGTTTTGCTTGCTTTTCTGTTTGCTAAACAACTCAGAAACTCTCTTTTAAGGGGATTTAATCTGACTAGTATAAAAACACATCTTAAGTGAACCCTGGTAGAGGGCCTGCAGAGACTTTTTAAAATACTTGAAATTCAAAGGCAAAGTTATTAAAAACAAACGCATTAGTGACTTTTGCATTTCATGTCAGTTTTTCCTCTCAGATACTTTAGACACTTTCCGGTATTCTTTAGAAGATCCACAAGGACTTGAGTCTAGATTTGTGTCTGAGCAATTAGATGCTCTGAGCTATTTTGCCAGAGTTTCTTTCGTGTTTGGTGTGATTAGGCACCTGTTTGTGAAAAGCCCCTCATCTCCCTCCTTATAATTATTCTTAGTGGCAGTTGCTAATAATTAATGAAGCAGAGTGGTATTCTTGTTCTGATTGATGGGGAGCCTTATGCGGCCTTTCGCTGCTTACTCAAGTATAAAGCTAATTACAAGTACACTCCTAGCAACCACCTATTCAGAGTATAAGCTTAAACATCTAGTGTTTCTAACTTTCTATGGCAATGAATCACAGGCTGACGATGAATCCGCAGAGCTGTTTACGTCTCCATACCTACCAAGACACTGCAACTTGTGAGTTGCAGCCAAAGAATTGAATTGCAGCATTGCAGCAAAATAATCGAATTCTTCACCCCTACCCCACCCCACACTCACCCCAGTTCTGCCAGAAAGCAGTCCTTACTTGTAGAAAAATTTAATCTATTAAGATGCAAACAAGGACCTGGGGTTGAGTATAGGCCTTTGCAGGGCATTAACCAATTGTGGTGGCCCCTGTCAGATATCCCAGCTCTGGGGAGGTGGAGGCAGGAGAATCAGAAGTTCCAGGTCCTTATCAGCTACATAATTGGTTTGAGACCTCTCTCCCCGATCCCGGGGATATATGAGACTCTATTTCAAAAATAAGCAGATTTTGAACAGCAAATTACTATCTAAAAGTTATCATATTAAAGATTCTGTAGGGGAAATGCTGATCTTCTAATATAAGGAATTACTACAAGTAGGAAGAGTGCCTCTTGATGAATATAGTTCCAATTCTAGTGATGGCAGTGTTCCTGCTGTTTAGATTGTATATAGCTTCCCCATTGGGAGGCACTAAGAATCAACTTCATTCCTGAATTTTACATCAGCATCTCTCCCCTAGCTTCTTGAAAGCAACGATTCAATTCTTCCCACCTTTTCAGCTTATCCAAGTAACACAAACACAAGAAAATAACAAGAAACAAATGGAGCTTTAATGACCTTGTTGCCTTGACTCAGTCACTTCATGGAGCCACAGCTTCTGTGTTCTGAGTTGCTCCCCTGTGGCAGGCTGAAAGGTTGGCTTCTTCTTTCCATACCTGCTCTAGCCCTTCTTCAGTTCTCGGGACTACCCACAGCTCCTCCAGGGTTTGGGGAACCAACGTCACTGGACAGAAGTTAGCTGGGTGGTTTCTGTCGGGAGTTTCCACGTTAAAATGCTCTCTCCTAAGTTCCTACCTAATAAGCTACAGAGTAGTTGCAAGCCAACACTAACCTATCCTGTTATCTCGTGTAAGGAATGCTGAATTGATGAGTTCTTTGGTGGAACCTGAACCTCAGAAGCCAGAGGCTGTCTTAAAGCCATATTCATTTGATACTAGCCAAAGGTCATGCTCTGAGTTTTCAGAGGGGGTAAGGTGAGCTCCTAGGTCAGTTTAACGTGGGAAAGCATGTATCACAGAACAGGTACAGTGTTGTACTAGCACTATGAAAGAAGGTGGCCACATTGCTATTTCAAAGGAATAAGCCCTTTCTGCTAATGCTTATTTTATTCAGCAAAATAGCCTCACTCACAGGCAAGGCTAAGGGCTCAGTCAATGTGCCTTAGGAAAGGCTACATAATAAAATGTGAAATCCGAACAATGGATAGCTCAGTTAGGTTGGAATTAAGAGATGCAGCTGGACACATGTGGTTAGATGCCTGAATATTCAATAAGTGATTTGCTAGTTTCACAACACACACACATACACACATGCACACACAAAACCTAAGTGGATACTTTGACTACGGCCTGGTTACATTGCACAAAGAAAGCATAATACATTAATGGTCTATTGGTTAAGCAAATGAGAGTAAATTCTTCTACGTTTAACACATTGTGCTTTTTTTGTGGAGGAGCTTTTGGAAAGATATTCTGATGAAGTGTTTATGTTATTGTCCAACCCCCATTGCAGGTTACAAAGACAGGATTCTATCAAGGTTTTACCTTCTGGGCCTCAGACTGTGCTTTCTGCCCCTCCTTTTCCTTCCTGTCTTTAGTGTCAGCAGAAGCCTTTCTAAACAAAGACTTCTATCCAGATAGCGCTATCCTGTACTACCTATTCCTGAAGGTGGGGTGGGCAATTATTCTGGGGGAGCTTTTCAGATCTCACCTTGAATTAAAAAATGCTTGAAGACAGTTTGAACTGACTTTCAGGTATATTTGGATATTAGGAATGATGTTGTTTTGTCTTCAGAGGGCAACTGGACTGCTCCCTTATTTCACAAAGGAGTGAGAGACAGCCCTGTGTAGTCCAAACTATAATCTTCATCATATTATCCTCAGAATATAAGAAAAAGTAACTATGATAAATACAATAAGCTTTGAAGTCAGATTGAAGCCTCCGTTAGGAAGGGCTATGATTGTTAGTCCATTCATCAAGCTACTAAATTTACACTTTTTCCATAGTTTAATTCTGGGAAGTAGACAAGGGTATTAGAAAATTCCATAAAAATACTGAACAGCGTGTGACATAACATGGATGTTTGCTGCAGGAATTATTCAGTTTCTTGGCCAGAAAATCTGGGGCTTGGTTTCCTGTAAAATTGGCTCACTGTATTTTGATAACACTGTGTCCTTATAGCAGCAGTACCTAGTGCAATGGGGGGGGGGGGAGTTGAATCGTTTAATTCCCGGGCAGCTTAATTGTAAATCACTGCCCCCAACACCATGAATTCATAATTTGAGTAGTTTTCAAAATCAAAAACAGTGGCACATCTCCTCTAAACTCTGAAGGTAGCTGGCTTGGCTAAAAACTTGAATCAATTCAACAACAACAAAAAAATTGAGCAGAGAAATTCAGTAACAACATTGTCGTATAGGAAGGCTAAAAAAATTGTAATGTTCTAGATGGGAGAGGTGGCATATACTTCGAATCTAATTTTAGTGTTCAGAAGGTAAAGCCAAGACATCTGGAGGTAAATGTCATCTTCAGCATTCATGTAGCCAGTCAAGCCTGGACTACATTACCAAGGTATATCTAAAAAACAAACCAAAGAAATTTTAAAACTCATGAATTTTTTTTGAAAACACTATTGTTAATGCAGAAGGTCCTCTCTCGGAGCTATATGATTTATTATGTTTCTTGTGTGGATTTAAGTAGAATAGCAAAAATAATTTCCCTCTCCAGTCAAGTGGAAACCTTTAAAGTTCATTTTGTTGATCTGTGATATAGAAATAAAATGAATAAGAAGAAAATATGACCTTTCTCACTTGCTCCACAAAACCCACATTAATTAACAAAGTCAAACAGGATGTACTCCATTTGGATCACATCTTAGGAAAACCTAACATAAAAACTTACTAATGTTTCCTTTGTAAGAGACAGCAATAAAACATGTGACCATAATATAATACTTGTATTTTCACTATTTTAACCTTGACAGGAAACCAAAAACTTCATTTAATTTATCCTGTACAATTGACATTGCCTTCAGTAGCTCTGTTAAAATGGCTTATTTTGAAATTATTGAGCATAGACTGTAAACTGTGGAACTATAGTATTTTTTAAATGTGTACCTGAAACCCAGACACCATAATTTATCCTGTTTGTTAAGGCTAAATGGTAGCTCTATACTGAAAAGTAAATCATTTAGGTGGAACAGAAACCTGCTGACGATAAGTTAAATATTTTCATATAAATTTTCTTGTTGAAAAGTACTTAAGGAAAAAAGCAATGTTTTAATCAGAAATTTCCTGCTTAACGTTATACTTTTTTATAGCTTATTGATTCTTCAATATGGCATTAAGTGAACTGTCAATTTACAAGTTATTTATATGAACATCTTCGGTACCTCAACTCATTATCTTCCAAGTCTAATGGACCAACAGCATGCATACTAAACTATGTAATTGTATATATAGGAACTTTAATTGTGGAGGTGAAAAATAACAACATAAAAGGAAGCACATTAATAAATTACTATGGCAAATGTACACATTAGTTTTCAATGGTTACTATTGGTATTACCTATGCCAATAATAATTTCTATTAATTGAAGTTAATAGAGAATCAACACTCTAATGTCATGAAACTGTGTTCTTTAGAAACTATGATAAGAACTCTATTGGCAACTTTATTGACTGGTGGGTTGATGCATTCCTTTAATCTTAACCTTGTTCGCCCAAAGTCAGCTACAGTTACAGTGTTCAGAGCAAGGACTTGGGAGGAAGGCTTATTTCTACAAGCTAAGTCTACTGGGGAGAAAAGCCAACTGAGACCTTTGGAAACCTTTTTGGTATTTTGAGTGTGAAAATGAACATTGATGTGCTAAAAACTGGTTGACTGACTCAGACATGAACAGAAACATTTTTCCTTAAGCTGTGACTTCACAACTCAACTGCTCTCCTTTTTCTTTTGTAGAGGATTGCCTTGCTCAGTGTGGCAAAGACTGCAGGTCTTACTGCTGCGATGGAAGTACCCCCTACTGTTGCTCCTACTATGCCTACATTGGGAACATTCTCTCGTGAGTAGCGCTCCAACTGGACAGTGTTTTTCTTCCTTTGGTCAAGTTACTCTTTCAAGTAACACTAAGTGACAGGTGCAGACAGGAGAATGAAGGTTGGTGCAGAAGATGGTGTCTCACTGTAGTAATTAGGGCAGTGGGGCTGCGTCCCCAGCACCCCGGCTGCCTGGCTAGCTTATGCCTGAATAACAACACACAAACTGTATTCATTTAATCACTGCTTGACCCATTTCTATCAAGCCTCTTCTAGGCTAATTCTCACATATTAATTTACCCCTTTTCTAATCATCTGTGTAGCACCCCTAGGTGCGCTTACCGGGAAGATTCTAGCCTATGTCCATCCTGGGTTGGAGCTTCATTGTTTGCATCTGCCTGGGAGCTGGGAGCATGGCGTCTCTCTGAGGCGTCTGCTCCCGAGAGGAGAGCTGTGGAGTCTGAGCTCACTTCCTCTTCCTCCCAGCGTTCTGTTCTGTCTACTCCTCCCACCTATCTTCTAACCAATGAGGGCCAAGCAGTTTCTTTTTATTTAACCAATGACCTTCCTCCATCATCTCACGCCTGTAATTCCAACACTGGGGAGGCTAACCCAGAAGAATTGCCATGGGTTTGAAGCCAGCCTGTATAACATAGCTAGTTCCGGTCCAGTCTCAGCTTCTGTGTGTGATTTCATCACACACACACACACACACACACACACACACACACACATTTGTTATTGATTTAAAGTCTTTACTAGAAGTTGAAACGTGTTAATAACTTGTATATCCTCTTAGGTGAAAGATGTATAAATTAATAAAAAAATGCCTCTATTAGTAGGGAGTTTTAAAAGGATCCTTTCACTGTTTCTCAAGCGTATTGTTGTAATGAGCTAAGTAGTCTTATTATTGATAATGCTTTGGTGATATAGTTTTGTCTCCTGTGTTGAAGGATGTATAAACTAACATTTGTTGTTTAATGATGGTCAACTTCTTTTACCAACCATGCCCTAATTGTCTAATACATCCACTAGTTAAGGAAAAGGAGAGGTTGTGAATAAATGAAACAATTGTGATAGGAAAACTTAGTTTTTTCTATAATGTATATAAGACAACTCAGAGGAACAAATTTAAAACCTAAATGAAGGCAGGTGTGAGCAATATATAATCATACCTCACACACATGAAAAGTACAGACAGTAAGTAGCTCCCTGTATTGGATTCAAAATATATTTTAGTACTGCTACTGAGCAGAGGACAGTGAAGGTAAAGCCTGCCTTTGGATTGAAAGGCTAGGAAATTATTTCATGAGTGTGGACTTGCCATTCTGCTGCCCATAAAGTTGGCGGTGAAAAATAAAGAGTTGGCAACAGAGCCCTACCTGCAGTGAGACTCTCCTCTGGTTCGCTCTCAGCTATGAGCAGGTCCAGGTTCTGGTTCTCTCCTCTGCTGCTCTTCTTTTCCACATGCACATGCAAGGATTGGGAGGAACTCTTCCATTCCTAAGTACTTCAGCTTAGCTTCTGTCTTCTGAAGGCTCAAGAGGAAGCAGGAAGCATTAGGCTAGGTTCAGCAGGTCCAGCTTCTTGGGGAACATGCCCACTGAGATGATGGCAACAAAATCCTCTGTTTCTCAAAAGGGAAACCAGACACAGACACTCTCTAGAATTCATGCTAGACCTGATATTAGAGATCTGTTTGACTATAGACCTCACTCCCCAAAAATCTGGTTTGGGGTATTATTGAAGACTGTTAGCTATGGAAGAAATTCTAGGATGAAATTTTAAAAATTAAAGATTTATTAATTTTCAGTACAAATCAAATATTCAATAAAATATAAACTAAGTCAAATTTCTGAATTTTTCCTTATGGAAGATTCATTGAGAAAGCAATTAACTGTCAATCAATAATTTTTTTTTTCAGAAATGGGGTAACTCAAATGTAAGTTGGTAACAATTTTTATCATTATAGATCTCGTCACAGAACATAAGATAATGTAAAGCTTCTGATTAATAAATTATGTGTATTATAATGAATGATTTCTGAATGCCATGTAGATGTGTGAGTGGAAACAGAGATGGCAGGAGTGAGCAAGTCTGGGATTCTTTTCTCCAGTGGCCCGAGGCCTTTATCTGTGCACTCACTACTTTCTGATACACATTGTACCCAGTGTCCTAACTCCCCACTCCCTCTTAGACAGAAATAAATACCGTGGACTCAACTATTAGCCAAAATAGCTTAACATTTTTTAATTTGGAGATATGTTTTCTGTGGCTTAGATTTCAAAAGATGCAATTTACACCCCTTTCTGATCAACACATTTATTTGGGTTATTAGAACCATGCGCTTGTTCCACACAGAGAGGACAAAGAATTGTATTTTAGAAGGGAAAAGTAAACACAGATGGCATTATATTTCAGGCAGTTAAAACTGAACTTTCTGTCAAAAATAGAAACTTCTTAGTAAATCTCTTGCTAAACAATACTTTGGGGAGAAAAAAAAAACTTTAAAGTGTTTTTCCCAGTGGAAGAAGGAGGATACATTTTCAGGATTTCCAGTCATTGTTTCACATTTGAAAAGAGTTCTCAACTCCACCCAAGCTTTCTTCTGTTATTTTGTAGTGGAGGAATGGGAGCGGGGAGTCAATTCTAAGGATGCTAACAAGAGTTCTTTCATGCACAAATTTCCTAATATTTCTGGTTTGGAATTCAAAAACTACACTTCCTCTCTTTTAAGCACCTGGGCACATTTGGTTAAATAATTTGGACCGTCTTAACAGAAAGATAAACTTTTATGTTAGCAGAAAAGTAGGAAAGAAGAGAGCAATTGAGATAATAGAATATATCTTGAATACTTTTATAAATTGATTCTACCTCATGGTTTATTTTCAAAATAAAGATGTTGGCTTAGTTTTAAATGAACTTTAAAAGCAACGAGGGAGAACTCGGAAGATAACTAAGATATTCTGTCATGTCTACAAACAGGTTAAGGGAGGTCTGTGGGGCCTTCTTCCTGGGGCTCCCTCTGGCACTGCAGCAATCACAGGTGAGGGGAGAGAGACTCATTGCTTTTTTAAAAACTTGTGCTGTGTGTGAGAGAGCGAGAGAAGGGGGGGGGGGGGACGAGACAGAGTTAGAGAGAGAGTATGCAGTGAGATGTTTAGAGAAAGCTTCACAAATGGCAGTTGATAAGAGATTTGAAGGAAGGGTAGCTGTTTACACAATGGACAGTGGAGGAAGGGAAATGCCTTCCAGACACAGAGACTCCTCACATACAGCCAAAGATAGAAGCAAGGAAATGATCTCTTGTTCAAAGTTGCTGGGGCAGGGGCTGGGGGGTGGGTGAGAGTTTATCTTGGATTCAAAGCTAGAAAAATGTGGGTCCAATAAAAGATGAATTCTTATTAATAGACTCCTATTGGCTATATTCTTCTCAAATTAAGATGAAATAATTCCATATTCCACAGTAAAAGTATACAACTGACTTTATGTAGTGTGGACAGAGTCTTAGATAGCACTAAGAACACAAAGAGCAAGATAATCTCTATCATCCCATAATGAAGATAAATATAAGAGTACTCCATTGATGAAAGATCAGAATGTATACATTGAGGCTGGGCAGTATGTGGAACACTTTGGATAAACTACTGATAATTTTTCTATATTTAAGAGATTTCTGATAATATGAGCAACCACTTGAAGTTTAAAAGGCTCTCTATGCTTTAAAAAATACTGAAAATTTGGTTTAATTTGAGAAATAAGGAGTTTCCCATCAGATTTATTCACACACATCATTCAGCAACTCTCCTACAGAGAAGGCGGGGCAGACACCATGATGGATAGGCAAAGAGGTGAAGAGGTGAGAGCACTCAGGCTGCTGATCAAACCCAGCTGGCATTCCCTAGAAGTGAGTCCAGGACAAAGCTATGGTTTGAAGAGTGGCAGAACCTAAGAGAACACAGTGGGGGGGGGGGGGGGGGGTTACCCAGTCACTATTTACTGTGATCCACGGTAGCAAACTAAAAATTTGTTACTGAAAATAACGACACTCTGCCATGCCAGAAAATTATTGTACAAAATCTTAAATGTGAGCCAGACTGTTGGGAGGCAGTGTGAGCCAACCATCAGATGTAGGACTTAAATCTCTCACGCAAAAAGATGAATTTGCTTTGTCAGTCTGCAACTGTAAGACCAGTCCCAAACACATCATCTATTTGCAATAATAATAATAATAATAATAATAACAATAATTTCCCACAGAAAGAACTAATAATGGAGATCCTGGTAAGATTCGGTTTCTTTTCTTCTCAATGAGTTGTGAAATATGTATTACCCACAGTTTTACAAAGACAGCCAATAAATGCCACGACTGTGGTTTTAGAGCCATGCTATGCATGAGTGCATGAGGAAGTTAACAGATAAAGGTTTTACATTTTCAAATGGCATTTGTGGTCCTGTGATCACTAAGTAGTTGAGGGTGTTAATTAAACTCAGGAGACTTGTGCATCTGTTAAGAACAGATGAAAAAATGAAATAAAATGATCTTAGTTTCAGAAATGAGAAAAATACCTCTGAAAAGCACTGAGCAAATCAAAGTTTCTGAGAGTTCTAGTTTGTTTTCTGTTACTGTGATTAACCCCACAATCAAAGCACAATTGTGGAGGAAAGGGTTGATTTGGCTTACACAGTCTGTCATAGAGGGAAGTGAAGACAGGAATCTGGAGGCAGGTAGTGCAACAGAGACTGTAAAGGAATAGCTTTGCTGCCCGTCGCTTGTTCAGCTTGCCCTCTTATACAACCCCACAACACCAGTCCAGAAGTGGCACCATTCCCAGTGGGCTTGACCTTCCCACATCACCCACATCAAGCACTGATCTATAAAATGCCCTACAGTGGTGCCTATGGCATCACTCTGTTGGGGGAAATTCTTCAGTTAAAGCTCCCTTTTTCTAGGTGACGCTACTTTTTGTTGAGTTGATATAAAAATTACTAATGAAGACAGTGAAAGTCTTCATTTTTGTTTTAA